TTTTGCGCGTCGTGCAACGTTACTGCAGTTGTGTGATGTTTTTGCATTTTGGCAGGATTTGGAAGGTGAGCGGCAGCCTGCAACTTAGTGGAGTCTGTTAGCGCTTCACCTCTTGGAGGTCTCTCCCCAGCAGCTTGAGGGGACCGCGACACGTGTCAGTCACTTGACAGATTTCTCTCTCTTTGCTGTAGGGACTGAGTGAATATAAGAGAAACTTCAAATGGAGGAAGCCGGAGTTTTGTAGCCCGTCCCGGCAGCAGCAGGCCTTGTGGGCAGGACTGCGGTCGGACCAGCTAGGTAAGGCCCTGGCGAGGTGCCGAGCCGGCTCCGGTGGGGGTGACCTGAGCGGTGGCAGCCCTAGAGACGCTTGTTGTGGCCGAGCGCGTGCTGCAGCGAACCGACGGTGTTTGCAATTTATATACGATTAAAAGCACGTTCCTAGTTACTGTTTGGAAGAGCATGTTTTTGCACGCCACGTGTCCTGCGGCTGCACGTGGAAGCGTCGTTGTGGTTGCTAGCGTTATTTGTGTAAAACCTGGAGCATATGCGGTTTCTGGCATGCAGCGTGAACTAAATTCCAAACAAGAAGCGTAGATGCGGCATTAACCCAGGCAGGGTGCGTCGAAGGAGGCACGGGGTTGGCAGTGATGTGTGAAAACACGTGACTCCATATTTAAGATGAGTCTGATTTGAGGCAAAGTTTGATGCAAAGCGAAACTGTTATGAAAACTTAACTGGGGCAGCTAGCTGGAAAAAACCGATGGGCATTAGAAAAGCTTGCAATGCTGTCGTCTAGGAGTTAGGATTTGCAGACTTTATGGCAGGCGTTTGTGGGATTGGAAAGTAGAAGATGATGGAGGTGGCGTTTGAGGTGAAAGGCCAATATGGAGGAAATCATAGAGTGATGACAACTGCAGTGCTTTGAAAAGTAGCAGGGAAGAATAGGAATTACTGTAGAGCACAAGACATTACCAGAATTGTACAGTTTAGTGTAGTTATGCAATTAGAATCCAATACATTCATTCCAGAATATGGTAAGTGTTTTAAATTGTGGCCTGGTAATTAAGAACCAACTCCTGGGAGTAGTTTGTTTTCAATCCAGATATTAGTCATTTTAATAAATAATCTTGCCGAAGTGCCTTCCACTTACTGCTTTCTTCTGCTAGTGCAATATATTTCTTTAACCTTGCTTTCCCTAGCACACAGCTCTAGGTATGGGTACCTCTCTGTATGAGTTTAGGAAAATAACTTCCACAAGTTCCTGAACACCCAAACTTCCAAACATATCAACTTCTTTTTAAAATTGTAAGGTAAGTTTTCCAGTCACACGTGTGGGGCATTGAAGCTTTAAACTAAACAGCAAATATTACCAGAATTGCAATAAAATCTTGAGTTAGCAATACAGTCGTTTCTCATCCTACCATTGTACCTGTGGGGTTTTTGTGTAATTGGTGATTTTTTTTTCCTACAACTTTGCATTCATTTTCTCTCCCACCTCTTTTCCAGCCGTCTTAACCATGTACATCTTTGAATGTCACTCTGACGCTTCACAGGACTTTGCTCTCTCTACAGATTGCCACTGATACACATAGTTGACAGTTTTAAGAATGACTTAGGATACCACCACAAAAAGGTGGTAGATGTTGGTGCTCCAAGTTCCTTTCTGCTATGCTTTCAGTGTTTCTCCCCTGGAATTGTTTCGTCCAAAACATGTGTGTTCAGACATCCAGAAAGTCTACGTGCCTGGCACTGTAGCGTATTCTCTCTTTTCACACTGCTTTCTCATGAGCTTATTTACCTCTCTGAGAAACTGTTCCTTTCAGCCAGTTAGGGGCCTTCACTTACTTGTCAGTCTGCTGTTTAGGACTATGCAGTTGTATTATGATATCCTGCTTTAGCTGTGTTCAGTTATTCGTTCCTCCTCTTAAAATTGCAGGATAATTTTATTTTCATATATAAGTATAGAGACTAGCAATTCTTTAAAAGAAGCTAATACTATGTTCTGTACATGGTCCTTTTAGAATTTTGGAAGCGTTTTCATACTTGCACCATAAAAAGTCATCAGTTATCTGAGGGGGTTTTAAGTCAATTCTGCAACATTTTTAAAAAGTGAAAGTCAGTTTACGTATGTCTTCTTTCATGGTTCAGAACTGTAGTAGATGCATAGGGGTCTGTCATTCACCTATTAAAATAGGTGAGAACCTATGCAGCAAAGTACCTAATGCACGTGTGCTGAGAAGTGTTCGTGGCATATTTTATCACTGCAGGTTGTTTTTTTCTGTGTCTGTGTTAGCCACATTCTCTGCACTGGCTGTGTTTAATTTTCGCTTTTTGTTCCATTCTTAGAATCAACTACACTGTATTGCAAAAGACTGTTCTGTGGCTTATATTTGGCTTATCAGGTTTGATCCAACATGGAGCTGGAGTTCCGTGTTCCCATCTCTCTTTAGTGGAAGTGAAAGGTCTTCAGCATGCATATGAAAGAAGCCAGAATTTCAGTGGTGTCCCTAATTTGTAGCTTGTCATTGCTCAAAGACAGTGAAAATAACCTTTTCCAATAATCACTTGTATGATACACTTTCATTTTTCTCTTGTAATAGAGCAATTATGTCTTCAGTAGAATTTTTTTTCTTAAACCTAATACGTCTTTTCTAGGAATCTCAAGAGAACCAAAGTTCATTTCCAAGAGAAGGGTACCCTGCCATCACCCACAGATTTCAAAGTCCTTTGAATGGACAGCAGATTGCGATTTGAATGACCCAATAGAAACTGAAGCTCTTAGGACTGCAGAATTGGACAGAGACCACAATAACAACGATATGAATCAGGAAAAGATTGAAACACCGGAAGGACCCAGGCTTCCCCCAAAAGCTCGGTCACGTTCTGTGGATTCTAGGGTTGAAACAGCTCTTGCTCTTCCAGAAAACAGCATGAAGAGATCACCACCTGCAGCTCCACCAAATCAGAATGAAGCATTTGTATTTCCAAAAAAGGAGTTAGAAAAAGTGGATAATGGGGTAAGGAAAGGTTGTTCCCCCCCTGCTTTTACTGACCAGTATAAAAGTTACTAATCTGATATTTATAGTAACGTAACACACATATGCTAGCTTCTGTGACTAATGTTATTAACACTGTTTTTTGTCTCACTCTCTCTTTAGTTCTGTATTTTGATGTTTTTCTATATTGTAGCTTCTCTGTTGGGAGAATATTACTTTTAAGACCAGATTATGGTTCCTCTGACATCAATAGGAATTTTGCCCTTCGCAACACATTTCTATTCACTTTAGTTAAACCAGAATTTATTCAATAATTTTAAAATTACTCAATGTTGTTAGCTATAATGAGAAAATGTACTTTATGTTCATTTAATTAATGTAAGCAGAAAACAAAACCGATTTGAACATGTGCATTGAAAACATCATAAGGATGACAAATACGAGGGAACAACCAGTGTTAAATTGTTTGCTGTTTCTGTGCTGTCAGCTTCACAGAGTCCTTCAGAGGAAAGCAGGCATGACTATTTCACCTTTAAATACTTTTCCCAGAAATTCGGAATATCAAAGCCAGTTTGTTTGGAAGAGTCCTCATGAAAAGTCTCCAATACTTGCAGCTGAACAGGTAACGTTAAAGAATGCAAAAAGCAGGTGAACAACTTGTTTTGTGTATCAGGAAGTTGCTTACTTTCCAAGGTTTCCTTATTGTTTGGTTGGTTGGTTCTGGGTTTTTTGTAGCACAAGCTGGCATGTTACGTATATGCTTTTTCTAATATACAAAAGTGCAGTATGATTAGGTTTATTTTCCTGTGATTCCTGACTGTAGTCAAGTCCGATTACTCGATCTTCTCCCAGGCTATAGACACCATTGGTCATTCTCCCAGATTGTGTTCAGCTCTTTCTAACAGGGCCGTTTTCTTCTGTTTGCACTAGTTTACTTTGAGCTGTAAGTTCCTACTTGGTATTACCCCTTCGTTTTCATGTTGATTGACTCTACACTAAATAACATGGGAACGTTCAGGTTCTGTCTCCAGTATCTTTGGCAAGTTTTGCCACTAAAATCATTCAGTTTTTACTCTTTATTCTCATGATCTTTTGTAGATAACTGCAGTTTCTTACTCTTAAGTTTCATCTTTTTATACGTACATGTCTAGGCCCTAAAATGCACCTCCATGGTTATTCGGTTGTGTTTTTTCTTTTGCGAGAACTGCTTATATTGAAAAATGAAGTGGAGCCTCCTGATTTCAAGATAGTCTTTTGGCATTTCTCATGACTTTTTGGACTCTGTAGAATTGGAAATGCTGCTCTTTCTAGTCAGACTGTGAAGAGTGACTCTGACTGTAGGACTGCTTTGGGTTGTCAATTTATTAGTTGTGGCATCAGGATTAAGGTCCCCAGGAGAAACAGGGAAACTCTCCTGCCTTTGGTCATTATACAGTATAAAATAGGCACTTGTGCAGGATCCTGGATTTTAAATTTTGTTTATGCTTTTCTAAAAGAATTTTTTAAAATTTTGTCTTCTGTTTCTTTACTAGGGGCACATACATTAGTGGCATTATTACAGATGGTGCTATCTCCATTTTTGTCTATAGGTAGCAGATTTGTTCAGTAAGAGCTTTCAAAGGTAATAAATGCTGGTAACTAGCATCAATCACTAAAAATCCCGTTCCTGTCTTTCTCTTGTGATGCCAAGCAGGTTGACTTACTTTGAGATACCTGTTTCCCAGCAGTCCCCTGTCCAAGGAAAACTCTCTGAAACGCGTGACAGTTGCATAGAAGCTAAAGGACCGTTTCAGAAAGAGGCAGGTCCCATCATGTCACTTCATGGAAATTTTGTAGAGCGTTCCATTTGATTGTAGTGGAAATCAGTTTGATACTCTCATTATTGATGCTTGCGAACGTTGTATTATGTCAGAAGAACGAATGTAGAATCTGAAATGGCGAATTTTTTCTGCCAGAGCTTATATCAGAGCCAAACAAAATTTTCATGGAAGTTTTATGGCATATATTCTTAAAAAATAGGATCCTGTATACAAATCTAAAAGTGAACTGCAAAATTCCCCACTGTCTCCCCAAACAAATAAAACCTCTGTTTGCAAACTTCAATAAAACCAGCATTTGAGTGTAGGTTTAACTGTGTCCAACTTAGAAAAATACACTTAAAAGTGTATTTTTCTGAAATTAAGTTTCTCTTTGATTTTTCCTAGAAGTGAGTTAGTTTGCATATGCTGTATTTGTACGCATGGCTGATTCTTTTCTCATATGTGAGCATATTTGCATGAATTGGTTAACTGATTTTGAAAATTTAGTCTTAAGGTAAGCAAATCCCCAGACACTCTTTTTTTTTTTTTTTTTTTTTTTTTTTCAAAAGGTTGTTCACAATACGAGTAAGTCTGTCCCTCCATTTAAATCTCCTGCAATTACTTCTGAAGCTGAATATGAGAGAAACTTCAAAGGTTCTCCTGTTAAGAGTCCACAGCTGAGAAACGATTCAGAAGAGAAAGAATTTCCGGTTTGTGAACAAGTAAATATTTCCCCTGAAAGAAAGGGATTGGTATACTTTTGCAATTTTGATTTTTTTTTTTTTTTTTTTTCCCCCTGTAACGTGGGTGGAATTTTTTTGTAATTTTTAGTTACATTTTGTGGCTGTTGTTAATGACTTTGGACTGGGTTGGGAGTAGTTCTACTTTAAAACACTGAAAATAACACTGTAGAGCTCTGTTTGCTCTCGGTGGTTTCTGTAATACATATGTTCGGTTTACAGAGACACTTTAAATGTTTTTTTCCTGTCACCTTAATTTGATTCTGAATTTTAGAGTAGCTTTTTTTTTAAATTGAAATTTATTTTTAGTCATTGGGATAGAATTTCAGAAATCAAAATCTTCCAGTTTATGTTCTCGCTGATACCCATGTATTCTCTTACTATGCAGCCCTCTATGGGAGGGCTCTTGCTTTTACTACCACTTAGATTTATAATTTTATAGCTCAAAAGTCAGACGTAGTATGAATTAAAAACAAAGAAGTGCTGCTATATGAAAGATGCCATAGTTAGAACTGATTTTCAGACGAGAGTTGTGATTTAAAGGGACATGGAGGCAGGACTATAGTTCAGTTCCCTTTGCCTCAATAAACTGATAGGTAAATACAGGCCTATAATGGCACACTGTATAACCTGTGTAGGCTCTGTTCAATTCAAACCATTAAAGCGTCTTTTGTAAAACATAGGCACCATTTGTCTGTTTGAAGCCTTGCATTTCCTTGTCTTGCTGTTGGCTAGGACAAACACAGGTGAATTTGAGGAAACATGGTTATCATCATTTTAGCAAATACATTTAGTAAAATGGAATTATTTCAAGCTGAGACCTTGTAAAAATAGGAGAGAACAAATAAAGCTGTAGAGTACATCACAGCTAACCCGTTTTGCAAGGTGGAAGGATGAATGCCTGCTTTTGTAGCAAGCTACTAAGTGTAGCATTGTCTAAATTCTTGCAGGTTAGCTTACTATCCTTCAGGCAGAAGGAACATGAATGAGTCTCTTCAGTGCCCATCTTTCTTCCTGGATAAAGCAGAAACAGCCACTGTCTGTCAATGGGTTCAGTATGACTGTTACCTAAACAAAACCCTTACTAAACATGGAGTGCATGTGGCTCAGTTTAAGCCGTTGATACTTTTGAAGTCTGTAAAGATGATTGTAGGCTTGGACACTATCAGTTAGAACCTAGACCCATCCAGTACTTCAAATCTGATCTCAAAATGGCGTGTACCATGTCCCCTTTTGCTTCTTTTAGCAGATGTGAAGAAAACCTGAGGGGCATGAGTTTTCCAGGAAACATTTGTTTGGTTTTAATACTGGAAATCAGGTTTTATTTTCCCAAGAGAATTAGTAGAATGAAATGTCGGAAAAGGAACAGAAGGCATGACCAGGGAATTTCCAGTGAAAGCGTCTAAAACATTTTTTGGTGCATCCATATATCTTCTCTGATAAATAGATTGAAGATAATTTTTTTTTTTAAAGGAACAGTGAAAACCCACGCCAAAATCAAAAAATTCTGAAAAGAGCTCCAGCAGAATTGAAAGTAATGCTTGACTTTTCCAAGAGGATAAAATAAGCAGGAAAGGAAAATCTTTGGTTTGTTTTGTTTTCACATCAATCTGACCCTTCATAATTGCAGAAATATGCAGATTAAATGTTATGCAACTCAGGTTAGAACGCACAGGTATCACAAACTTTTGTTTCTGTATTTCATGTTAAATTCATTTTGTAAAGTGTACAAAATGGGTCATATAACTAAATGAATGTTGCACTAGGAATCTTAGCTTTGGCATTTTGCCATTTTGTTTTTGTATTAACCAAGGAATGTAATATTCTTTCTTGTACTGAATATGCTAACAGTAAAAATTTTAAAGTTAACTTTTATGCGAAAGTTTCATGTCAAAAGGAATGTGAGGATTTTTTAGTTTGTTAGCTAATGTGATATTTTTAAAATTATCTTTGCCTTAGAATAAAAGGAAAGAACCGTTTCAAAAGCCAACAGAAGATGCATCAAAACAAGGGAAAAAATCAGAACAGAAACATCCTAAACAAAAAAATAAGCAACATATCAGTCAAAAACCCCTCTCTTTACATACAAGTCATGGGTATGTATAATACAGGAAAACCTAGCCTAGTGATTAGGTGTACAGTACCCTAATATTTAGAATGGTGGAAGATTACCTTTACCCGTGTGATGTATGCTACAGTCACAGGGCACATGTAATGTCTGCCCACTTGCAGAGGTGTCTGCGTCAGTGTTGGGATTGAGCTACCTGTGGGTACTTCTGAACCTGGTGTTAATTTCTGTCCCCTTCTCTGGGCTGTGGAAGTGGAAGCTTTGTAACCATATTGTCTCAGTTGAACCTCCTAATGCAGTGATATGACCGTTAATAAAATTAACACAAATTAAATTAAAGTCATGTAGTGCTGCTATTGAACTTTCAGCGAGTGCTTTGGAAGTTGTAGTCACCTTTCAAACTGCTCTCCTGCTTGCTGCACACATCTCAAAATTGTGAAGATAGTACTTGGTTGATGTCTGTTTTTTCTAGTCCATACTACCTTCTATCCCATAAGAGGTAAAGGGAAATATAAATAAGTCTGTCCCATCTAGGGTAATGTGACAAGCATGGAAATAAAATGAAATCAGACTGTTACTGAGGGGTGTCTAAGTATCTTTTACTTCTGCCACATTCCTACGCTGCAGGGATTGAGCTCATGTTTCTATTTTCTACGCATCTGAGATATATCAGAAACGTAGAAGCCCAGAATGGATCAAGTTCAGAATGCATACATCTAATCCACCTCCGATATCTTCATGCTTCATGTACCTCCCAATACTTACTTTCATTCACATGGTTTTCTGGCAATATTAAGGCATTAGATTAAAGACAGGAGAGGAGACTTAAACCACATCTGATTACCTTTGGATATTGGGAGATAATTAAAAAATAAACACCCAAACACACTCAAATACTATAAAATAAGATTACTTTTTGAGAAAGTGAATGAGTATAGTGTAATTAAAACCTTTGGTTTAAAATCTCTTTGGTTTTCATAGTTCCTAGACACAGTAGATAGGACGTAATTTTGCAGCGAGTTGGAGGAAAAATTCTCAATCGTTTGTTATGACTTTTCCTGTTTAAGGACAGAGATTTCTGCCTGTTAAACCATCAGTGTGGCAGTACAAGACAAGAAGTTCTCGAAGCAAATAACTGAGTATGTGCAAATTCTCAATATGCAGAGACAGGAGTTGCACTTCTTATGCAATTTGCATTGCGTAGTGTGTTTTTGTGACAGAGTGACTGGGATTGATGCGCAGGTTTTGAGCTACTTCTGTCAGATTTCAAAGAAAAGGACATAAAGAAAGTTCTGAGTATAGAAGTTTTCTTTCCTTGATACATTTCTTTTTACAAGATCTGTTTCGTTCTCTGACTTTAGGCTTTACGGTCTGTATCTGAAGAAGGACTGAAAGAGAGGACTTTTTCAGCTTATGTTGAATATGAGAAAATAAAGTTAGTTCTGAAGCAAGATTAAAAATAAAAACTTGCTCAGATTTAAGTTGATAAATCCACAGGTCAGTGCTTAAGTAAGAGTTCTGACTGGTAATATTGTATGTATTGCCTGCTTTAGGTTAATTTCTCTGTGTATGTATGTGTGTGGCAGAAGGGAAAATGAATCAATCTTTTTTTCATTCAGCAGTTTCAGATGATCCGGCCCCCAACAGTCCTTCCCACCCGTATGTCAGATCTGTACTGCCTTTACAGCGGAGTTCATAGTTCTGTGTTCAGCTTACTCTGTCTTGAATGCGTCAGTGCAAAATCAAGTATTTTTGCTTAAATGCACCTTCATCAGCAGCTAAGATGCTCCACTTTGCATTGAAGTAATTGAGTTTATGTGCGTGTTATGTTCTGATTTGGCTGTAAGGGCAAAAGCTTCTGACCGAAGAGCTATGAAGAGAAGCCAACATGGGTACATACTTCAAGAGCCACCAGCTGCGAATGAGCTTTTTGCAGCTTTTCTAGTTGTCTTGGTAGGGATGAGCATGTGTTTTTTCGAGTCTCAGCCCTGGAATTTAGGTGCCAGAACACTTGTGATTGTTGCTATAACTTTAAACATGCTCTTTAAGAGCCTTCTATATATCAAACTTTATTCTTTGTTTTTTTCCCCTCCTCTTTATGATGTCTTAGGAAGATGAACACTGAATATAGATCAAAATTTTTGTCTCCAGCTCAGTATCTGTACAAAGATGGAGCTTGGTCTCGTATCAGGAATAGCGTTCCAAATCAGGTGAGTATTCCTGAAAAATTTAATGCCTTGATGTGCTTGGTATAATGATTTCATATGCAAAAAACTTAGAATTGTGGTGCTTATAAAATACAGTTTTGAGATTGTAATGCTAATGACTAAGCTCCCAAAGGTCAGTATAAAAAGGAGATTAAGCTCAGACAAGGCAGTAAAATGTATCGTAAGAAAGTGTAACGCACAGTGTGCTTTAAAGAATGTATTAATGTGGCCTAGAAACTGAGGGAGGAACTTTTCCCCTTACAATTCAGAGTCATCTAGAATAGAGAGCAGATAGTCCCAGTGTTGATGGTCAGCTAGTTTTTTACAAGTAAAAGCTTTCAAAATGTAGATTAGATGATGGGAGGTTCCAAGGGAATATATCATTCTGTGTCAGCTTGTCAGTCAGACGCAGTTTGTCACCTTGTGAGCCAAGCTTCATGAGTCGAATCCATTCAAAGTAGTCAACTGAGTTCAAACATACAGAACATAGAATTTCTCTGGTAAGGTTCAGCTGATCTGTTTTACTGCAGTTTATTCAGTAACTGCTAGCTCAAAATTCAGTGCTGTATTCTAGAGGAACTCATTTGACACAGCTCTGAAAATGCTGTATGGCCTGATGAGCATAGGACTTTTTAGCAGGATTATTGAGTATGGTTTCCTGAATTAGTCAAGAAAATAAAAACCTTTAGTAGTGTGCTAACAAATTGCTAGGGAGAGTTCTGCAACTGGCAGATTTCACCTAGGAGACTTTGGCTTCTCTCAGCTGATAGAGGGAGCCTTCCTGAGACAGCGTGTACTGCTAAATATGTGGCAAACGCTTGGCAAATGTGAGTTGCTTCATCATTCAGGACCGAGCTGATGAGGAAGGCAGAACTAGAGTTGATCGCTGTAGGGTATTGGGCTCTGGGCTTTTGCAAATAACGTTGCCTGGAAAAGGCAGGAGTAGTGTGGTAGTATTCAGTTTCTGTTTTCTCACTGAACTTGATTTAGCAAATCATTTTTTATTTTGGGCAAAAAGAAATATATATTGAATATACATGAAAGAAACTGAATGAGGAACAGGCCCCTTACTTCAAGCATATCAGTTTGTGATGTTTCATAATAAGATTTTTCATATTTGTTCATCAGATAACCCATTCTGTGAAAACGGCTCTGTGAGGACATTAGAAGATTAAAACCAAGCAATATTTATATTTTTGATGTATATTGATGTGTGCATATGTGTAGTCTTGCCATCACTAAGGCTATAGAATAATCTATATTATTGCTCGCAGCCTGCTTTTTTTTTTTTTTTAGTACACAAAATGTTTCTGTAGAATATCACAGCATTTTTCTAGCTTGTGGGGTCTTTTTCTGGAGCCTAGATGTTGTGTCAGTAAGATTCAAAACCTGAGTGGGCAGTGTTCAGCTTCAAGAGTGACTGCCTGGGAGGCAAGCATAGGAGAAGGGTTTTTGCCTTGGAATGTTGTTTGCTGCACAGCTAACTGGAGGGAGACACTGCGGTATAATGTAGGGGAAGCATGAGGAAACTGCAAGTGGAGGACTAGTGTTCTGCGTTACCAGGCAAGATTCTTTTTGGGATGTGCTTGAGAGACGTAGGAGGTAAATAGATGTGGCATTTAATTAGAGTGTGCGGGAAACCAGCAAGTTCCCACACTGTAGATATGTGTTTTGGCTGTGTTTGGCTTTTCCATGGAAATTTTCTTGCTGATAAAGGAATTACAAAGGAAACTAGAAAGAAGTCACTTGAGACTAGGCATGAAGAACTTAAGAGGAAAAAGATGTTAGGGTTTTTAGGGCCTTCCAAGTAAAGGAATTGTGCTGGGTACCTGAAGGAGCCAACTTCAATTTAAATTTATGATAACAAAGACATTGTTTTATTGATTACAAATGTGCTTATGTATATGTGAACATGTGTATATAATATATGTACATTATATCCTAGTATGATTTCATACAGAAGTCTTTTTTAGTTAGGATTATCTAAATTTCTCCTGCCTCAGACTTTGAATCACGCTTAGTCTGTGAGCATATGAAACTTGTTCTGCTTGTAGACAAAGAACAATATTTAGCTCCTATAAATGTGTTACTGTGTGGAATTATCTCTGAGTAGAGGGTTTTTTGTTGCTGTTGTCTTATTAATATTTCTATATAAGTTGTTGAGGATTCCTTCTTAAAAGGAAGTTTCATGTGGGTGTAGTAAAAGCAAAAAGTAACCTTAAAGCTGGGAATTTTCCAGTGTTCAGGAAATGCTGGAAGAAAGCCAATATTAATTCTTAAAAACTCTGTTAATGCAAGAATAAAAAATCCCGATGGACATGATTCTTAGCCAGGCGTTTTTTTTTGTCTTTTTTTTTTTTTTTTTTTTATCTTTTTCAATTTCAGTGATGTTCTCATCTGAGGTAGGGACTGCAGGAGGGGATCCAGTGTGGCTCTAAAGAGTAGGGCTGAATAAAGTATTTCAGACACTGTTGAGACATGAGAAAGAATTTATTTCTTTGAGAAATATATTGCTACAGATTAATGAAAGATTGCCTTACTTGAAAAAGCGTCAAGCTAATCGGCTGTATTGCAAAGCAGCAAAGGTGCTGTGGCTATGTAAAGTATAGGCTGCTCTACCAGTTTCCTACCGCTACGTTTGTTTTTGAAACCTGTTCCTGTACTAATGCATTGGTGTGAAGAGAAGCGTTCTGCCAAGATGTATACAACCGCTACCTCTGATGGCTCTTTGAGACTCGCCTCTGCTGAAGATGCCTATGGAACCTCTGTCGCTTAGCATAAGCGAATAGTCGATAAGCTCTGACTGATCCAGTCTGATTACCCACTTCGCTGAGCCTGCACACAGATAACTTTGGGTCCAAAATAAACTTTCTGAAGCTCTGAGTCCAAACAGGCGAAGGTTGTGATAGAATCCTAAGTGTAACCTTAGCCACAGTGATTACTTCTGTACTCTGCAATGTATTATTAAGGGTTGCTTTTCAACAGTAGAATAAAAAAGTGTCTTTGAATTATGCTTTTGAAAAATTAATGCGGGCAATTCATAGTCACAGTAGGACTCTCTGGGGCCTGTGTCCTGCTGAGATAATGCAGCCTGCTGAGTCACTGAAGGAGGCTGGTTGTCCTTTGTACTTTTTCACAATTCACTGGAGACATGGTATTCTTCCTCCCCCTGCAGTGTCCTATTGCTCGAGGTTTATATTCCTTCTGTTGTGGCTATTACAATTAATTTTTCATTCTTCTGTTTAAAGTGAATAATCCGGTAAATCACTTACACCTCAAACTTCAAACTGTACTCTTAAAATGATAAGTATATATTTTAATGGGCTATTCTTTGGAAGTTTAATAGGTATAATAGGTCAAATTCTGAGATATTAGCTGATGCACTATAAGTAGATTTCCATCTGCTGCATTCAGTTGCTTTTTGTGGGATTAGCAGAATTTGGCCCGCATATCTCTGTTCCTTGCAGGAAGAACTATGCTAAGTCTATCATGAAAGAAGAATAAATAAAACAAGCTATAAAAATGTGCTAAAGGAAGTGACAGTGTTACTTTCCTGCTCTTTGATAAAAATACTTATTTCCTGTGAACCTTTTTTTAGTGAGCCAGGATTCATACAACAGTATCACAAAGTTATTTTTAATCATTTAAAAGTAGAAGTAAAGTTTTTTGTTGCTTTTTCTTCTTACACTTTCATTGTGTTTAGATGAAGGACACAAGACTGAGTGTGGAAATAATTTCAGGAATAGAAGTGATAGTATAAAATTAGCAGTGTAATGTCTAAAGAGAGGAGTTGCCACTTTTATTTTTTAAGACTAAAACTGGCTTCCTTTTTTTTTTTTTTTTTTTTCAATTTCATTCATACAGCGATTGATGAAGGAGGGAATGATTTAGAAATTGTGACTTAAATACAGAACACCGAGAGATCTCATCATGTAGTCATCAAGTCCTCACTGAACTAAGATTTGCATAGCAAGAGACAGTTGCAGTGTTCACAGCATACAAACTCAGCATTACGCATGCCCATAGGCCATAAATTCATATGTATGAATGTATTTTTGACTGTAAGGCTTAGAAATCTAAATTCATTTCCTCAAGCTTGGCAAAAGCTGGTGAAGTACAAGTGTTGAGATGTTTGTTTTACAGCTTTTTCCTGAAACTCTGGGAGGCGGCATAGAGCTATGTGGACAGATTTTTAGTATTTAATGAATTACTCAGACTGAAGTGAAGTTACAGTGGTGATATTAACATACAGCGTTGAGAGAAAAGTGAAGAAATTTAAAATAATTCTGTATTCCTCTCCTTAGGCGTCTCAAAACACCCTAAATTCCATGTGGTATATGGAGGTTGGTTGCATCTAAGTTTTTGTTTTAATGTTTGGAGCACTGTGCTGTATCTGAACACTAATAAAGAACTAGAATTCAGCACTAAACTTACTCATAATTGCTGCTTTTTGTGCTCATTGAGTAAGTAATTGGCAATTTTGCTTTGGCTTGATAGCTTAAACATGCTTACTAAATAGAAACTTTTGTTATTTTTGCTCTCCTTTTGTTGCATTTACTGCAGCATGCAATATTTGTGCTGTGGGTGGTCTTGTATTATATATAACTTGCCCTTCTCCTCTAGCTGCCGTTAGCTAATGCAAATACTTTGTAATAGCATGTTGGTGAATTTTAAAGAGACACGCAGAAACTTAAGAAACGTTGATGTGCAGGTGAAAGAACTTCGAGCCAGAGCAAAGGCTTACAGGCAACGAATAGAGGGAACACACTTCTCCCGATACCATCTCAATCAGATTCTGTCCGATAATAACAGTCTCTGGGATGTGTCCTCAAGTTCCAGTTCAGAAGAAGGCATCAGCAACAACATCAGAGCGCTAGATCTTGCCGGGTAAGGTAATCATTCCT